TGCTGCTTTGCTGTGTTTTTGGAAACAAACAAGTGGCAAGTTTTTACTTCTACTGCAGCTGAACAGTTTTTAATGAAATAATCTGTCAGCCCCCTGTGCTGCTTACCAGACAGAATCGGTTCACCTGAAGCTGATGTTGGATGGTGTAACCATCTCAAAAAACATTTGCAACTCAGAAATGCATTCGCTTTTGCCTTTTTTCCACATTAGTCTCTCTGATTTCAGCTCAAATACGGAAAAATAGTTAATGTTGTTCTTGGAAAACAGGCAGTAAGATAGAAGTTTTATTTATTTTTTTCCTGTAAATTCCTAACTCCTGACACATACCTGAATCTTTAACCAGACCAGTCTTTCATGTTTGTCTTCACCAAACATATGCATCACTTCTATAGAGACAGTAATAACTAAAGAACAAAACTGTCAGACTGAGTCAAAGACAGTTCAGTTACTGTCACTCAAAAATAAAACATGAAAGAATGGCTCTAGTATGCAAGGACATTCATACTTGTAGCTTTGAATGTGCACTCGGAATTAAAATTCAAGAGCAAAAGGAGGAAAAACCTTTAAATATATTCATGCTTCAATTTTGAAACACTATTGACTTTTTACTCAATGCAGGTAAAGCTTCAACTTGACTCCACGAACGCAAAGTAATACACACCTTCTTTAGGAAACCTCCTTCACACACTTACACAGACAGAAGGTATTAAAAGGATCTTTATATAACACTTGAGCTCCTGTTTATCTCCGACAGTGGAGTATAAACTGATATAATAGAGTTTTCCAATAATGCTCATGATCTATAACCATACACAGATCCATAACAGAAAATAAAAACAGACACAAACACATTTATTTACAGGGTTATGTAAAATAACACAACACTTTAGGAATCATGATGGTTATTTTTTTTGTTTTCTGATCACATAACTGCAATCCCATTGAGTAATGAAGCAGAATATTATAAAGCTGTTGCCTGATATGTGCTCGTATCCCACAGATTGCTTCTAAATACAAGTTTCTACAATATCTGATACTTTGTTACACAGATTTCAGAAAATGACATTTGCAGGGCAGCATGCTGACTTTCATGCTGTGCCTAGTTTTGCTCATACTGATCCTGCAGCAGAGCAAAAGTAACACACTATTTCCCTGTTGAATGAATCTGAGTTGACCACTTGCCACTATGGCCCAATTAACCTCAAATAATATCTCTTTGCTGCTATACTATTTCTGCTAAACTGCCAGCTGGATCCTGGGTGAAACTTCTGTTTCAAACAGAGAATACTATCCCAGGGGATTCAAATAATCTTCTTTTTTAAAAGTTGATATAAACCACTGAGAATAAGCAACCTTGCCAAGAGCACCCTGTGGTAATGAAACACCTTCCCTTTCTTCTTTCCATCATTCTATAATGCCAGGGATATCAGGATATCTCACTTTTTCATTTAGTTTCTTGCTTTTCAGAGATTATAGGATCACAGTATCTGTGTGATATCAGGACTTGACAGCATTAAGTTATTCCACCCACTCTATGTGAAAACCTGACATTATGTGGCAAATTATGTGGCTTGCTGTAGACTGCAGGTTTGTAGATAAACTGAAAAAAAACCCCAAAAAGCAAAACAGTGGTGTAAGGACAATAGCTGTTGTTCCTTTAGGGGTGGGGGTGACAATGACAGTGATGATGGATTTCAGAAGTCAGGTTATACAGCAAAATATGCCATGTTTCTGGTTAGCTCTCACCCAGCAGTCCCCACTCCAGATCAAGAGTCTTCACTTAATATCTTCACAAAAAAAGATGAAAAATAAAAGTTTGTGACTCCATGGGGTAGTGGTTAACACATTCTCCTTATACATAAAAAATCTCCTGTTTGAGAGTGGGAGGAGACAGATCCAGACTCAGGGGGCCACAAGCTAGCACACTTCTCGGGCTGGTCCCAATCTCACAGAAATAGGAAGAAGGGAAGGGTATCCAGTGTAAAAAAAATCAAACATACTGATCCATCCACTGTAGTTACCCCTGGGGAAATAAGGGAGCAGCCAAAAGTATTAAAAGAAGATATTTTGACAAATAAATTTGCAGAACCCTAGCAGTTACAGCAATGTCTTGTGTCTAATGTTTCAAACATTAAAAACAAAGATGCATTTCTCTCTGTCTTCTTTTTTTTCCTCTCACTGAATCCATAACATGTTATTATATAACTACCGAACAACCCTCATCATAATGTTCTGGCAGTGATGCAAGTGCGAGCTGCTGTAAATCATTGGTGTGATAAGACTGGAAGAAGCGACAGTTTGCTTCTTCCTTCTATTTTAGCTAAGACCTTTCTTTTTCTGCCGCCAGCTACGCCTGCACAATTTAACTAAGGCGTTTCTACCCCAATTAGCCTTTTTTTTTTTTTTACCACCATTATGGTGCCATCAAAATTAATTTAAAAATGCTTAATAAATTTAGTGGCACTCTGTGGGGTTTTTTTTTTTGTGGCCCTCTCGGAGGATTGTATATGTAGTTTAATTATCTGCATGTTGGTGTTTTAAGGTCAGAGAATTACGCTTGAATTACCAACTGGTGGTCATTTAATGGTCTATTGAATGTATTAATAGTTTTATATTCATTACTTAATTAACAAATGTGCTGGAGCTCTTTCTGTGCTGGGCAAAAAGGGAGGTGTGTGTGTGTGTGTGTGTGTGATTAACAACATAAAATTTCCTGACTGACTTGAACCACTAAAGATATGTAATTAAATTGTGTCACTTCTACTAGACTGCTGGGTGTACAAGTGTAGACCATGTTATCTCGTGCATGAGTCTGAGCACTATGCACATGCACCGCCTAATAAACATAATGTATTAAAATGCAGAGTGTAGAAGAAGCTATGTGTTTTGTTTAATAATTAGGGGGAAAACTCTTCCTCTTTTTCTCCATTAGCCACCCAAAAGCTTTGGCAATAAAGAAGCCTTGACTATGAAACCTGTTATGTGCTGAACTTCTGGAAGCAAAATCATCACTTTTCAGCTTTTCTCATAATTGAGTTTTGGTAACTTGTTTTTAAACGTGTATTCCTTGTATCTGCAGTTCAAACAGGTTTCTATTGCCACTATAACCATGATTATAACAACTCCTGTTTTTTTTCCCTAAAAGTTCTTCTTCCTCTGAATTTGCCATGGATTTATCAAGAAAAGACAACAAGAACAAAAGCCAAGCATCGACTAAAGGCCATTGAACAGCAGGTTACCTCTCTCTTTGTCAGCTGCGGTGTCTGTTAATTGCTGCTGACATTTTGCCCACGTTGTTTAAATCCAAACTATTCTGATGCACCGCTTTCTTTTGTTTCTTTCCGAACGGGGGACATAGTTTAGAAATGCCACCTTCTCCGCTGTCTGCTGAGAATCCTCAATATTTGACAAAATCTTCTAATTAACACACCGTTTGTTTTGACAGTACTCAGCAGTTTTCCTAGATGCAGCAAACATTTTTGATCCTCTTGCATGCAGCGTGAAGTTAACACCCACAGATTTTACCCCCTAGCAGGCGAAAAAGACTCTTAACTGTCGAGAGGAATCCTGAAATTCAAATTAGTTACAAATTTAGCAACAAAAAAAAAAAAATCAGATGTCTTTTATCTTTAACACTGCAGAAATTTGATGCACATTTAATTGATAAAGTAAGAAACACTGACTCTAAGCAGTAGATGCTCTTTTTAATTGCACTGGTGAATAGTTTCCAACACTGACTTTTTTAGAAATGGAAATCTTGCCATTGCTTCTTTTCTTAACCATTTGTCAGTTCATAAAGTTGTTTAGGTTATGGAGAAGCTACTCAGTCATGCTTTTGATCAAGTGTATCTGCATCATTTTCAAGCACCGACCACTCCAGTTTGATGTAGCAGCTGTCTGACGGACAGCTGCCTCCAAAGAAGGACATCGGTGTGGTTAAATATGAAGCATTCGCTTTGCTGCAAGCACTTCTGAACACAGTTGCTTATTGATTTAGACAGACCACATGGCTGATGGATTTTGTGCACTTTATTTGTGTCTCAATGACAGAGACAAAGGGTAGCTTCGCTGAATGATTGATCACTGTGCAGAGGAGGCTACACTCCTGTTTCTGTTACCTAAATGCGACAAGAGTCAATTGATGGCTGTGAAGAGGATTTCGATGTCCTTTCAGTATCTCTCAGATTTGTATTTACTGATTGCATCACAGCCTCTTTATTCTGGATGACCAGCATCCTGTGAAAAACACACAAATGGGGAGTACCTAATCCCCTCTGTTATTCTGGGGCTCAGCAATTCTGAATCCAGACAAAATGAGAACTGTCTTTCACTGGGCCGTTGTATCACAGAACAGAATCAAACTGGGGGAACAGTGAGAAAGTCCGATAATGACACAGACCACCACGAGTCTTTCTGTGAAAATTAACTGGCTGCTATTGCTTGGTTAAGAGAAGTTTTTGTTGCACGACTTTACTATCCAGTAAAGTCATTGTACCTTTTTTTTAAAATTAAAACATTGGTTCTGCAAAGTTAAGAATGAATGCTTTAGATGTTATTTCTTAAGACCCTACATTTCGGTTTTAGCTGCTCCACCTGAGGAGAGAATTAACAATGACAAATATTGGTTGGAAAGTCCAGCAGAATTTCATGTCCAGCGGAGATGAGAATGTTTAATTGGCTCATATTTTGCTCCGAGCAAAACTGTAGATTGTTTAATTTACACACACGCTGAAATGGCTGCATGATTAGAATATTATATGAAGAGTTTCTACATTTCCCACTCAAACAGTCTCTACATGAACATACAGAGCAAAAATTAGGAATATGATCATATGCTACATGCATATTTAACAGCAAAAAACCCACACATACACGCATACAGATAGATAGATGGAAAGATCAATTGATATGTAGGCCTGAACCCCCTCAGTGAGATCATTAACAAGACTGGCTACAGATACCGACTACAGGATGGAGCAATTTTCAGCCACCTCTGCTACATGGATGACATCAAGCTGTATGCCAAAAGTAAACAAGACTCTGAATCACTGATCCAAGCCACCAGGATCTACAGCAAGGACACTGGAATGTCATTCCTATTGGAGAAGTGTAGTCAGACGGTAACAACGAGAGGGAAGGTAGTCAGAACTGAGGGGATCCATCTACCAGAAGGCAACATTGCAGACATCGAGGACAGTTACAAGTACCTGGGAATCCCATAGGCAAATGGGAACCATGAGGCCACTACACTGTAAAAAAATGGAGCGTCAATATTTCAGAGTAAACCTATTTTAACATAGATAGAGTATTTACAACTCTATGAGGTGTAAACCAGCTCTAACATCAGAGTTAAAAGTCAGTGTAAAGTTTGTTAGTCACGCAGTGAAGACTTAACTCCACACAGTGTTGATTATTACCAGTACGCAGGTGTGTGCGGCCTCAGAGCTCTAATGCGCATGGAATTTTCTCCGAAGAGCTGCCACAGTCAGGTAAGTGAAGTTAACATTCCCATACTGGTAACATTGTTTAAAAGGTATTTTTAAACTAAATAGCTCTTTATAGTTTCACTGATGTCGAGTGAGGACATGTTAGCAGCATTTACCCATAGGTTTAATGGTATTCCAGTAGCTACATGCTAGCAGTTGCTAAAAGTTCAGATGCTCGTTATCTTCTCACTGCGTTAATATGAACCTAAAACATTTTAACTATGTATTTCTTCTAAATGCTGTCTAAATAATATCATTGTCACATGTCAAATCGCACAGTTTGAACAACTAAATTACCGTTTATCAGTAAGCTAATAATCGCTAATTAGCTTACATAAGCGAACATACTTTAAGAAAAAGTGGGTAACATTACCATAAAGTTAACTTTACTGGTTTATATTATTTTAAGCAAATGCCAAAGGCATACACTACTTTAGAGTTTTGCTCATTATTTAGTAAGAAATATGTAATTTGTGTAAATTAACTGATAGCAATGTTAATGACATGTTAAGTAATATTAAGTAATGTTTCTATATTATAGAAAGGTTTAAGAGTACGCAAAAACCAAATCTCTGAGAGATGCAACCAGAAGACGGATGAGAAACATACTTGAGGCTGAGATGACAGAATAACACGGGTAAGAATCAAAAATGTAAGATATAAAGAAACATTTTAAACATTGTATTATTTTTAATTGTGATGTTTAATGCCAATTATTGAATTTATACATTAGGACATCTCCCCCTAAAAGCGTAAGAGTGATGTATGCGCAGGGCATTGTTGCTCTGTCTCCATATCTGGAAGACCCATATTCACAACATGGATATGTAAGTAAAGGGAACTTTTCAACATTAAATACATAATTGCCCTCAGAAATGTTGATAACATAGTCCTTCTTCGTTTATTTAATTACATAGAAACATTACTACGATCCAGAGAGCAGTTCAGGATACATTGCATGGCGGTTGAAGACCATTCAAAGAAAAGCTGTGGAGGAAAGAAGCGTCTCAGTTTGCAAATCTCCCAAAAGTAAGTTCACTTATCATTTAAATGATACTGATGTAATTTGTAGGCAGGATTCAATCAAACACCTCTCTATGTTCTGTATCTTTGCATTACAGATAGAACAAGATTTCCGACTCCTGTTTTGTGAGGTCACTGCGAGCAAATTCTTGGAGAGGTGGCCCACCAATCTCAAAGCAAAGGTTGTAAAGGAAAGTCATGGACTTGTCCCCACCTCAGAGCTCTTGGAGTTAATGTGCAATGCTGAGTCAGGTACTGAAGTTGAGAATGGTATGATTGTGACTGTTTTTATTTGCCATTGTTGGTTATATAGGTAATTCTGTCAATTCAATGCATTTTTGGAATAATTCTTTGTTTATTCATCTGTAGGCTGGGACAGTGACTTGTCTACTATCTTGCTGCTGCTACATCTGCTACCACCATCTGCACAAGGGCGAAAGAGACCAGGAAAGATGTCTGCATCTCAAGCTGTCAATAACCTCATCAAATTCCCAAAGGTATGTTGTTTAAAATATACTTTCCATCACCTCTATTTTCATGGACAGTGAGTTGAGCTAATCTACTGTCAGAGGATAGTCACTTAATACTGTTGTTTAATGTGTTGTTGTAGGCTGGAACCAGTGTACAGCAGCATCTAGACAACATCACCCGAAGCAGTCAGCCCTACCTTCTTACTCAGGGATCCACAAGAAGCAGCATTCACACCTTCATTGTGATTGAGAAGCATGCACTTCCATGTAAAGCGACAGGTTCAGTAGGAGCCCTTGATGAACTCTTTAGGGCCCATTATGTCTTTGGTACATCATACAGTTCATCCCTGACCAACTTTTTTACTTTTCTGCAAACAACTACGACATTGGGGAAATGTCATATTGCTTTCTCTAGTGAGCATCATAGAACTGTGAATTGTAAAGGTTTGTTACGTTAATTAAATGACACTGAAATGAGAAACATAATAAATGCTGTTACTTTAACCTGTATATTTGTTGTTATTTCCATAATGTAGGATAGATCACAGTTATTTAGTAATATAGCATCATAAGATGAATATGAAAAAATCACACTACAGAGAAATAAAAATGATATATTATTACACATCAGAGTGTTATTATTAAACTAAATTTGGAGTAAAAATAGCTCTATAAAGTGTAATCAAATTACTCTGAACAGTGTGAATAACCCTCAGTGTTAAATGTTTTTACACATTTTGTTGTTAATTTTGACACTAAATTGAGTACAATTAACACTGAAAAGTTAACACTGGCCATAGAGTAAATTTAACTCTAATTTTGAGTGGGCCCAAATGTTATCTGAAGCAGAGTTAAAATCAACTCTGTAAGTGTAAAATTGACACTTGGTTTTTTACTGTGTAGGAAAGCTGCAACCACCAATAACCTGCAAAGGGTCAGGCAAGTCCTGAGAAGTCAGGTGAACAGTAAGAACAAGATCCAGGCTATTAACACCTACGCCCTGCCCATGATCAGGTACCCTGTTGGGATAATAAGTTGGCTAAAGGAGGAGATAAAAGCCACTGACATCAAGACGAGGAAGCTCCTGGCCATGCATGGAGGGTTTCACCCCAAATCCAGCACCCTGAGACTGTGGTACTGACACTCTCTAGTCCCCACCCACTTTCCTTCTGTTTAGTATACAGTCCAGGATGAGACAACAAACATCCATGAGTAGATTAGAAAGATGGCCACAACCTACCGTGTGCTCAGTGAATACCTCAGGCAGCAGAGACCCAAGAAAGCGGAGCAAGAGGAGGAACAGTTATGGAAGGACAGGCCCCTGTGTGGTATGTACCACTGGCAGATAGAGGATGTTGCTGACATCCAGAAATTCTACTAGTAGTTGGGCAAAGATGGACTGAAAGCACATGTGCATGACTATCAAGAATCTTTGCATGACTTTCATCATTAAATGTGGAAAAAACTCTCTGACTTCGATGTCCCTGCTGACCTTTTTGATTTTCCTGTAATAAGCAGACTGTTACATGACAGTAATAACACTTGGGGGAATATTCCTCCAGCTCTAAACTTCTCCCTCTCTCTTGAAAGATTGAGCAGACTATTTTTTTTAATCATTCACTCATTATTATTTTCATTCCCCATCCTCAGTCACGGAAGCCCTTTCCACATTGCTGCCCATTCCTCAAGTTTGTGTTTTGCTAAAACCTTTTACATGTTTAATGTTTTCTTTCTTGCTATGGCCCACAAGCTATTTTTCAAACCTTCAATTTGGCCATAAGAAAGAAAATTGCTACTTTTTAACAGCATGAAAGAAACCCATACTTTGTAGAAACTCAAAGGGGTTTGGCTATGTTGCAGAGAAGTTGTTTGTTATGTAGGCCTGTGAAGAGCAGAGATGAGATAATTCCTAAATTGGTGATTGACCAGAAACCATTTGAAAAGCCTTCCATCTAAAAAAAACAGAAGAGAAAAAAAACATAAAGTTGGTCTTGTTGTCCCTTTTTTTCCTTCAGCCTTATTTGAGGTCCACTTTGTCAGCTGACTGTTTTCTGTAGATGGTGGATCATTGCTGTTTTTCTGCAATTGCAGTCCACATTATTTTTTCCTACCTGGTATCTTGTTAGAATGCACAGGTTATTGGGCCCTCGGCTCCTTAATTATCTCCCAGTGGGCCTGAACATGAAATAAACATGTATATACCTTGCAGTTTGCCTGAAATTATCCTGGTAAGATGCCTCAAGAAGTAGTTTTTACTTTTCTGCACAGGCATACCAATATCCTCCCATCCAAAATGCAGGTCACATTACGTGTTATGACTGAGGTGACTGAGATGGGCAGAGAACCTATCTGCCTCTATCCATGCATACATTTTTAAAGATACCTGGTACTGACTCCCCTAAAGCATGCTATTCCTTGAACAGAATTTTTTGATTTTCCCAAGAAGTCTTGCAGTTCAGCAGTACATCTCCGCATATGAAAGGTGTCAGTGCAGGAAAGAGCAGATCTGCTCTTACAGAGCATCCCGCTGTGAAAACAGAAGTGAGAACAGAAGGTGTTTGTAAAAAGTATCTGTGTGTATATGAAAAATGTGTAAATCTAGCACAAGTAACATGCAGTGCAGTGCAAAGATCTGGAACTTGGTATAAGAATGTTAAAATTTAGAAACAGTTTATTTGTCTCAGGTAAGACACCTCTTTTTTTCCTCTCCAATAATGTGAAAGTTAAGAGCTTAAAGATATTTCATTTCTTCACAAACAAAACCAACAAGCCTGAAGTAAATGCAATAATTCAAATTTATAATATCGAATCCTATAAGTAAGGCTGTGCCTGAAAATAACACACTGATTTCTGAGTTCATGTTTACTAAACAGGAAATGTCTAAACAATACTGGAAATTTCAGTCATCTAATATAAAAAAGGAACAACTGCTGTCATCAGTCCTGCAAACACTGGTGTATAAAACAGGATTGGCAAAGCACTAAACTAAATCTATTATTAAAGTGCGAGGGAGAATTTTTAGAGCACTCTGAAATTCTGCTGTATTCATAATTTATTTTTAAATCCTTCTTGGTCCCCACTACATATTCAGATCTCATTTACTGTCATCCGTGCAGACTCACCTCTTTTATCCTCCAGGAATCTAGTCTCAATTAATGTTCTTATTGGGATTTCAGGGAGGATTTGAAAGGAAAGGTGCTCAGCAGTGACCATGGAAACAGGTAGCAGAAACAATCTGTGTGTTCAGACACAGACGGTGGAATAATGGCATTATTTTTGCTTTTTTCTTCTTCACCAAGTTCCTGGAAAATCCTTGTAAGTTTATCATAAGTTGGTAGATATAACCCTACACAATCTGAAGAGGGACTTTTAGAATCGCTACATAAATATTTTATCAACTTTTATATAAATTGGTTGTTGCAAATAGTGATGGAGATGTTCAATTTTCTGCCTAGTTTGTCTTTTCACAGAGGGCTGACTCTGTATCCATACCATTCCTGCGCTGCTCAGGGGAAACTCCACTCACAGACGTGTCTGTCAAAGGAGATAGTGTAGCCACCACGCAGAAGAATGTGGAAAAAATGGTTGGGTGAGGGGGTTGGGGAATTCAATCATTTATCACCTTTTGCTGCACCAGTGTCATAGGGGTGGAGATTCAGAAAACAGAGAACAAGGGTGAGGGATGATAAAACTGCAGAAACAGAAGGTGGTTTAGTGATTTGTCATGTTTTGCATGGTAGTCAGAAATGAAATGCTACATATTTGACTCTGAGGAAGAACTTGCAAGGCCACACGGTCACAAGGGTCACATTTTGTTGTCCTTCTCTTCAGAATTATTTTTCCAGCTTTAAAGCCATAAGAATATGTGGAAATGTAACAGATAATCAAAACACAAACAACCAATTTTATGAGCCAAACATAAAAGCTCATAAAAATGATTAAAGTTTTTTTT